GAACTTCAAATTGCCTCTAAATGGTCACTGAACTTTCATTAATTGCACCACATCCAACACTCAGAGGGCAGTGGGGTGGGCAATTGGAATCGAGTTCAGTGACCATTTAGAGGCTTTTTGAAGTTCAGTGAGTAAGTCGTGACCATGTTAAAATTCAGTGAGTGTTCAAACAATTTACTCAATATTTTGAGGTGGTGAATATTTAGGAATGACAAACTTATTCGCCAAATTATCCCATCTTGACGGGAACATCATCCCTATCCCAAATTGTCATCTCTATTATTTTTTTTATTTTATGTGTTTACTATTTAAATCATATTTAAAAATATTTACGAAATAAATAAATAAATAAGTAAACGGAGATTTTATAATCCAAACTTCACATGAATATATTGACTTACTTGATGGGATGGTGATGGGGACGAGGAGGGCTGTCCGGACCCATTTATTTTTAACAATGTTATTTTATTTTATTAAATCATTTATTTTACTTCTTTCTATTGGAATTTCTCGAATCGTCATTTTACGTACGTCTGTTTTCGAGGGTCCACAATCGTTATGTGACATAGAAGTAACAACTCGCACGAAAGTTCATACTATACCATTTCTACGAATAGCTCATATTGTTGTGTCTTTTTGGAGATTGGGACGGACCTTCTATTATGACTTCTACTCGACAAAATTAATTTTGTTCAAATCACTTTTTATTCACACATGCTAATATTTTATAGAATTCACCGCTAGCAAAGGATAAACGCTCAGCAACAATGAGAAGGAAGTTCAACATTACAACCTATGAATAATAAAACTACACAATGCATCTTCTACACGACTTCATAAACAAAGCAAAACCAAACTTCCCACCACCGCAGTGCCACCAATTAACCCCACCGCTGCCTTCACCCCAGTACCACCCTTAGTCGGGGCTGGGGCTGGTGCTGGTGCACGGTAGAAGTGGCGGTGGTGATGAGGAGAAGGCGCTTGCGCCGTAGAGTGGTGGCCAGAGCCATGTTTATCAGACAGAACTATAACCTCTAGCTTTTGACCATTCTGGCAATGTTCTTCAGCCCCACTGATGAAGAAAAATGGGCCTGATTTTTCCAGTGAAATTTTAGTTTCTCCATCATGGTGTGATTTTATTGGATTGGCCTTGTTGCAGATTTTGTAGTCCTCCTCGCTCACTTCCAGCACTGAATCAGTCTTGGAATCATACTTCAGAACTGTTCAAAACAACAACAAATTAGGGTTCTTGGAGTTGAACAAAAAATCAGAGAAAAATGAGGATTAATTGTGACAAAAATCGAAAGATAAGGGACTTTTTAAAATCCCGAATGCATGCTACCATGTTCATAAAACTCACCTTTAAAATCAACTCGTAAGGAAAGACAAGTAAAAAAAAAAAAAGAAAAAAGTTACCTAAAGAATCACCAATCTGAAAACGAGTTTTCTCAGCCCATTTGTTGAATTCATCAACAGAAGATGGAACTTCCCATAAATTATTTTCACCGCATACGACAAACTCTCTTGCTTCCGAACGAATGCACAGCAAAAGCACGACGGCCAAGCATAAGAAAAGAATTCTGAGTGAAGCCATTTGTCGAATTTTGTACACAGTAGAATAGGATATTGGCTGCTGCTCCTCTCCACTATATATCTACGTAAATGAGGGCTTGTGAGATGGATTGTCATAAATGTGGTTTTGGAACGTTGAACAACGTTAAAAAAGAAAAAAATAATAAAAAAATAAAAAATAAAATCATAAATGCAATATTATTATTTACTTTTAAGTAGTAATTTAATTATCTTTTGAGGAAATTATTTAAGGCAGACTAATCGTGAGAGGAAATGAAAAATGTACAAAGGATTTAAACGTTCGATAAAATGACCTAGTGTTAGCTTGTCCGACTGAATCAAGGGTAAGTTCGACTAGCTTGACAAAGTAATTGGTTCGAGCAAGTATTTACTCAAACCAGTTTAATATATGGCCGAGTTGGTCGGAAAATAATGATGTGATAAATTAGTTTTCGGGCATTTAAAGAAAGATTTTTAATTGAAAAAACATATAAGAAGATTGTAGTTTTTAAGTTGAACTTCAAAAGTGGACTATTCTGAAATACTTTTCTTTTAACTTTCTTTCATTAGTGAGTAATTGTATTAATTGACAATAATGTATAAAATGCATTAAATCAGGAATTATTTTTTCAAAAATTTTTATAAATGCAATTATTCAACGTCTACATTATAATTATGGGATAATTAGGTGAATTCGAAACCAGATAAAAGGCCGTTTTGTTGAAAAAAAAAAACAGTAGACTATTTCACTTAAAATAATATATTATCCTAAAAATTAGAGCTCAATAAAACGTTGTTTGATCACATTATTTTCAAAATATTTTTTTTTTTATCTTCTTTTCAACCGCACATTTGTCAATAAAATAATATTAAACGCAAATTCAAAATTTGTCCTTATCTTTTGATCACACATTCTCCATCAATTTACCATTTCAAATGCATTTTTAGCCAAAAAAAAAAAGGGGCNTTTGGGAGGGATTTTTGGAGGAGGAATTGATTTTGAATAGTGATATGATAGGAAATGTGTGGTTGAAAAAGAAGAAAAAATTATTGATGTGATGAAAAATATTATTTTATTGAAAAATGTATGGTTAAAAATGAGAATTGATTTACTGTAGAATTTGAGAATCAATCCCAAATACCCCCTTAAAGTAACTTTATTGGTTTGTGTGTAAAATATTTTATTGGGTGAATGTGTGGTGGAGAATCTTACTGTAGCAAACAACGTTTTGGGATAATGGGAGACAAAAAGGGCCTAAATGACAATAGAACGTGAATTCAATAATGCTAGGTTTTTTTTTTTTTTTTCCTTTTTACATAACCATTGTAATGATATATTCCCTCCGTCCCATTTATATAGCGGGCTGATTTTGTTTTGCATGCAGATTAAGAAATTTAATTTAGAACTTTTTTTAGGGAAGAATTGATTTTGAATAGTGATATGATGGAAAATGTGTGGTTGAAAAACAAGAAAAAATTATTGATGTGATGGAAAACATTATTTTGTTGAAAAATGTGTGGTTGAAAATAAGAATTGATTTACTGTAGAAAAATTTAATTGGAGGGTTTGTCCCGGAATTACAGTAACTTTTTCATTAAAAATGTTTCTTAAAAGAATTAAATGGGAATATTAATTATCAATAACTAGTAGTAAATTATGGTGATTAAATTATTGTTGAAAGTAGTAAAAAAATTGAATGATTAAATTATTGTTGAAAGTAGTAAATAATAATGTTTTGTCCATGTTTCCAAGAAGTGGAAAATATGTGTATCGGATAATTCCAAGAAGGTAAATTAAAATTTGTACAAGATTAAGTGGAATGAATTGGTTATAATTAGACAAATTAAATAAGGATATATTAATAAACAAATAAAACAAATAATTTCTCAATAAAAAAATGAATGTATAAATGGGACAAAAAAATAAGGAAACTCAATCTATATAAATTGGATTGAGGGAGTATGATCACTAAAATAGATGATGAATTCCATGTTATGAAAGTATATTCGTTAATTAGTTATTTTTAATTTCCAAAGTAACGATGTATTGATTATATAATTAATCTCACTATTTGTTACTATAAATCATTCTAATTCATAATGAATTTAGACATGTTTGTCTGTCGAAAATATTCAAATAGTATTTATTATTACTGGAGCCCCATGTTTTGTGTAGAATGCATTTTGGAGTAGCAGATTAATAGAGAATGTATAATTAGAAATTAAAGAAAATTTTTGAATATATATTTAATATTATTTTATTGAAAAATGCTTAGTTCTAAGGGAGAAAAAAAAATTTTGGAAAAAATGGGAGTCAAACGGGGCAAGTTTATTGTGATAGTGAAATGCTGGCGAAGATTGTAGGAAGAATTTGAAATTTCTGCCCGCGGTAGCCGTGAGTTTTGGTGGGGTAGTGTGAGGTGGAAAATAAGAAGAAGATGAAAGATTAATTTATTTTATTATTTCGTGTGAGAATATATAAAATTATAATTTTACCTCTATAAAAATTGTTGTTAACGTAATAAAATCATTTTTTTGGGTCAATTGACAACGATCTGAATGAAATCCGTCCGTTTATCCTCCAACCGCACATACTTAAAAGGTTTGTAACCACGAGTGCAACAAATGAAAAATTAGAGTAAAAATTGTAAATATTTGAAAGATTTAAAATCGTGACAGCAATTATACCCATCAATAATGATCGTTCCCATGTGTCCATGGGCAAAGGCTGCGGGTATAGTAAACCCGTCCAAAGGTGCCTAATTTCCCATACAGTTCAAGAACCATAATGAAGAAACATATATAATGGAATACTTCACCTTAATTGCCAAAGCAGTGAGATTACACATCTAGACAGTTTGCAAGACATAGCAATAACACAACAAACACATTTCACAGTTCAAGACGGGGTCGAGAAAAAACACGCAAATGTAAAACGGCGAAGACCATATAACATTTTCATTTTCGGAATGGAAGGAGAAGACCATAAATCATCTTTATTTGAGGAGTGTCTTGACGATGGACTTGACATTGAGCTTCTTCAAATCAGTGTAAGATTGTCCACATCCAACAAACATGACAGGTGATCCCGAAATGTATACCATTGACAATGCAGCTCCCACCTACGACACCATGTGACCATCGACCCATTTCATGATAAAGATACCAAAAATAAAATGAAATAATGTTGAAATCATAAAGTACTCAGATAAGGCTGTCATGTTTGGTTAAGCTAAAAGAGTTAGCTTATAAGAACTTTACTTCTGAGTAAATAATTTCTAACTTCTAAATAAAGNTCCACAGCATCATTCCCCACAAGTGCCTCACCAACAAACAAGATAAGATCTGGACTGTTAACGTAGATAAGCTTCGACAGAGCTCGCATTAGTGGTTCATTATCCTGAACAATGCAATTGAAAATAAGTGCAACTGCTGAGTAAAAAAATTATAGAAAAATGACATATTCCATAAAATGATCAAGGTACCATCAAAACTCAATGGACGAAGGATTCATTTTGACATGTCTATAGTCGAATGCATTTTGAGAACGTTACAATTCGTCAACAAGCAGCAAGTGAAAATTCCTAAAATACCTGCATTCGACCAGCTGTATCAACAAGAACAACATCTGAACCATTTCGACCAGCTTCCTGTATTGCTTCCTTCGCTACAATGGCAGGATCTTTCTCATAACCCTTCTCGAATATTGGAATCTGATAAGACAAACAATTTCAAATGATTAAGCACAATTCAGTCATTGTTACTTCAATGAATCTACTACTACACAATACACATGAACAAAGAACTATGACTTCATAATCAACCTGGAGTCTACGTGCATGAGTACGAAGCTGCTCAACAGCCCCAGATCGGAATGTATCACAAGCAGCCATCATGACTTTTATCTTATGCTGCTGAAGCCAGTAAGCAACCTGCAGAGTGACAGATACACAAGGCCCATTAGACAAAAAGTGCATGTCCACAAGCATCTAGCGTATTATTCCTTACATTTACAGCACACTACCTTAGCAAGATTTGTAGATTTTCCAACTCCATTTACTCCTACAAAAACGACAACATATGGTTTTCCTTGTTCCTGTGCAGCATGAACATCCCTTAAAATGTCAATGGACCGCCTGGGGGTTAATATGCGAACAAGAGCTTCTTCCATTGCTGCCTGGTAGCATCAATTTAAGCCATCACGCCATTACATGCAACAAGACACAGTTATGATTTGCAGAAAAAAAAAAAAAAAGTTAACTGGATTAGGTGGAGGGGTAACAGGAAAATGTATTTCTATAGATGGTGAGTTGTCGCTTTGGATTTTGCTTTTGCTTTGAATTCTGTTCGCAGGAAATCAGTCAGACATGCTTGTGTACCTGCACTGTCGAAGAAATTCTTGTAAAAGAGGCCAGCTTTTTTCCCTCAAGACTTGCTGCTACCGATTCACAAAGTTTTGCAGCTATTTCCTCTGCCTGTTTAAGCAACAAAAGGATATGACTTAGATGTACTGCGTGATTTCCAACAAGTCTTACTAACTGAAGCTACAGAAACTTGCAGACAAATTAAAACAATACTAATCTCCCCTTCATCCTTACTTCTTTTCTCCTTAAGTGTGGGGAAAGGAACAAAACCAGCACATAAGAATTCTAATAACGATCATGTTCTGATGAAGGTGAAAAATTAATTAAATGCATCAATTATAAACAGCATGCAAAGTTGGCATACCACATTCTTGGTCATAAGCCTGTCCTTGAGTGCCTTCAGTGCTGGTTCTAGATCGGCTTTCTCCAAATTTGCCTTTCCCGCGATACTGAGTTCACAAGAATAAATCAAATAATGAGTTGGATGTGCACCACTTCACTTGGACGCCATAGTTTAACATCCCTATGGGGTTCACGCAAAATTGACACTATAGAGAAGAAAAATAAAGGATTAATTAAGTGGTGATAAAACAGTGTAAATCCTATGCAAATGACCCTCAACACAGTACAAATATCTTGCTACTTTATGTATCTCTTCTAGCTCATCTCGTGGCATGCGATAACTATCAGATACAGCAATCGTGAAATAGCTGAAATGAAACTAAGCCCCTGTTTGGCCCCCATTATTTTGCATTTTTAGGGGTTGAAAATTTTTAGAATAGTGATTGATGGGAGAATGTGTGGTTGAAATTTTTTTGATTTGTGTGTAATATTATTTTATTTGATGAATGTGGTTGAAATGAAGAGAGAAAAATTTAATATAATATAATGTAATTTAATGGGGGCCAAACAAGGGCTAACTCACATCAACTATCGTTGGTCGAATTTTGGTCAACCACCCAAAGGACTCCATCTTAAATGTTAAGCAACATTTTATAGCCTCAAATTCCATTGCAGGAACAGTGATCTTACACATGTACATGGAAATATGGTACACACAACAATTACCAATAGAAGTACTCTACTAAGACAAGCATAACAACATAACGGGTAGAATTAACTACTTCTCAAAGAAGGGAAATCCAGATTTTTACGCTTACACAATTATTAATTTCATAAATATTGCAGAAAGAGTTGCCGCAAACAATTTGCAAGCGACCGTGAACACTGAGAGGTGATGAAATGCAAAACATAGGCAACCATCAAAGCCGTTTTTCTACATCGATCCATTATGACAATTTATGTTTTCTCTCAAAAAGAGCTTATGCTCAATCATATCGCACTATCTCTTCAATGACCACAATGAGAAATTCACTAAACTTGAAAATGCTCCAAAGAATGAATAGATTAAATCCTGCGATACATAATTCAGTTGAAATTTTAAATAACAATCCAATAAGAGCCAGAGAGTAGTTAAGACTCTCAAGCCTTGATACTTCTCACATTTCTAGAACTATGAAAAATTTAAATGATCCAAGGTAACACAAAAGATAGTACAATTCTATGACAAAAACCATATGAAAAAATTTTCTTAAGCCACTACATGTTCACAAATCTATAACGGGCTGGCAGCGATGTACATGCATTTTTGCATCTAATTATTAAAATTGCAAAAAAATCCCATTCAGATTCGGGTTGAAATGTTTAAACAACTACTAAACACGGTCAAGTGCATACATAATGTCTCTCAAAAGATTTGGGTTAACTGGCAAATGTAAAATTTGGAGCTATAACTCCTTTCAGTCAAGCAGAAGTTGTATGTCTTAATACAGAATCCTGTTCATTTGATTTTGTTTTTTTTCAATGGGAGGTGGTGGTGGTGGTGGTCCCAAAGCTTGGATTACAGGTAACAACCACCAAAATTTCTGACAAGAACACACAACCATGCATACAGCTATTGGCAATCCAACCTCTGAATAAGCATATAAAGTAGCTGAACAGACAGACAAATGCACAACAAAAATACTATACTAACTTATAAAAGCATGATGACAAAAGACATCTTCATTACAACCACCACAAGAATAATTGAATAAATGCACGCATAAGTTTTCGTAATATGAATTAAGAAGGAGATCAAGAATTTTCTACTTTATTTGGCTGTGAGAGATGCAAATTTACCTCTGGAACATGGATGAGAACCAGCCTTTCTTCTTTGTCTCAACCTTACTGTTCTTCCCTATGTCCTCCTCCTCTGAGTCACTTTCACTGCTTATAATCTCCTCTTTGTCCATCATACTCTCACCTTGATCCGCTGCTACAATTGCTATATTCTCTTCCCCATTCTCACTGACTGGATCAGTAAAGTCCAGTTTTGGCTCTATCGGTGAATCATCCCAAACTCTATTCTTTTTCACTACCTTTTTCTTCGGTTCTACCTTGGAAACTTTGTTAACAGTAGTATCAGTTTTCTTTCCAACTTTACCCCTAATCTTCTGTAGCTTATTTACATCAAAAGCCCCAACATTGGAACTTCCATTCTCTTTACCATTACCATTAACTATTCTGGGCGATTCCCCATTTACAACATGATTTTTGTTAAAATTCCCATTTTCCAACAAGTGACCTTTCAGCTTGTCATCATTTCCACCCCCGTTTTCAGATTCACCTCCATTGTTTTTTTTATTGCTGCCATCCATACTCCCCTTTAGAACCTGTCCTTGCTTCTTACCAAGATTGTTATTTACAGGCTTACCTACCTGTTTTGATTTCTTCATTTCATCTGCACGAGCCTCAGCTTCTTTCTTAAGCTGCTGAAATATGTCATCAAAGTCATTGTAGGATGTCCGTTTTGGATCATAAATTTCAGAGAACTCTCGCTTAACCATTGAAAGCAAGTCATCCACATACACGAGGTGGAGAATCCGCTGATACACAGCAACAAATACAAGCCCAAGCTCATTGTGAAATGTCCATTTAAGAGTGTAAGAAGCACCAGCTGCATCATAATTGTATGATGCTGCACCAGATCGTTCCTCCAAAAGACAGGATCTAATCAGTGTGTCAATGGGAGAACCTCTAAGAGCATTTCCAAGCTCTTTGCAAGTCCAGAGGATTAAACCTCCTCTAGTAAATATTAGTAACTGCTCTAACATCTCTAAAACTCAAAAATTTATACCCTGCAACAGATAACAAAAATAAGTTAAATCAGCCCGTGAACTATTCTTAAAGAATCAAATTGGCACAACCAACTAACTACTTAATTGATAGCAGAGATGCCATTTAAATGTACATAATAAACATCACCAGAATGTATGGGTATCAAATCAGTGGAAATATTGATTAGGCTGTTGCTATATCAATTAATAACTTCCAAACTCCTAAATTCATTCCAATTATGGCTTAAGTAATGCACCTATCTTTGATTGAACAGTGGATGCATATATTCAAGCACAATAGGCACAAAAAAGCACATCAATAGACACACAGGTCATCAGAAGATAGATCAGAAAACAGCACAATATCATGAGCATCAAATAGTTAAATCACAGATTCAGTAGGATTCGAACATAAACAGATACACAAGATTCCAATACGAAGCACTCTTTATTCAATATGATTGTATGGGATGTACACGTCGAATACACACACAAATATGAGCGAGACTCTTCTAATTAAAGCTCAGAACAAAAATGAAACGGAAATTCTAGAGAAACCGATATTCCCATCAAAACTTGAATCCTCAACCAAAAAAATCCCAAGAAGTAATAAGAAAACTAAAAAATTAATTATCGGCAACAATATCCAAAAAGAAACAGAGATCGGCGAGCAACAGAAAAACCCAAAAAAGAAAAATATCGAACAAGAAAAACAATTAACCTACTATAAGTAAGAAAAAAAAAATCCAATGAACCTGAACCGTAAAAATCGAGAGGAAACAAAAAATCACCTGTGGTCCTGTCTACAATTTTATTTTTTTCTTTTGCCGTGGAAATCCGAGAAGAACAAAAAATGAAAAGAAAGAAATTGAAAAGGGCAAAAAATGGGAAATTATAGAAGTAAAATGTGCGATGGGTTGAAATATATACGTGTAGGAAGGTCCGTTTTGACTTTGCCTCGTAAGCCGGTCCAAAATGGTGGGCGGGTTGGCCACCCAACTTTATAGTATTAAAATTGATTTTAATTTTAATTCAAGTTAAAATCAAAAAATCAATATTAATCATATTTTTAATAGTATTATTTTAGGATGAAAAATAGATGAATTTGTGTCTTTCCATACTTTGATGAAAGCCATTCGTTCTTCAATTAAAAACATTTTATATAACAATAAGAAAATTAGTTTTTTTCTAAAAATCAAATACAATGTAAAGAAATCGGAAAGAAGAAAGAGGAGATGCATGTGTAAAATTGGTCGAAGTAAGTGAAACACTATTTCCTTAAGATAAATTTGCCCTGCATTAGTGCTAACGGTTTTTCTGCAATCATCTCCCAATATAAAACGACCACATTTAGCCAAAAGAGCACTCTAAATGGCTTAGACCAACAAATCCGAACGAAATTTTCTCTCTATCATAACCATAAGTTTGATGCAAAAATGAATTACTTCTACAAAGTGTTTTTAAAAAGGAATTTGCCCTGCATCAGTGCTATCTGCAGCGTCGGTTGCTGTTGCCGGCTCCAGTGGCGGCGCCGAGATAGCCGTCGGCGCCGCCACCAAAAAAAAAATTTTTTATTTTTTGAAAACTAAAATTCTGAAATTTTTGAAAATCAATAGAATAATTTTCAAATTTAATAAATCTAAATTCGAAATTATTAAATTTGAAAACCTTGCAAATATACAAGAACCAAATTAAAATTTTGATTCCCAATGATTTAACATGAATAGGCTCT